GGATTGCTGCTGACCTTTGGTTTCCTCTGGAGGTAACTTCTGGCCACTGCGCTTTCATTTCCAGCTCCAGTACCAATAGTGAGCAAAGGACATTCAGTATTGTTCTTCAGTCTGAACATAGCACGATGGAGATTTTGCTCTATTTTAGTCACACCCTATTTATTATTAATGAAGCCTATTGCCGAGAACAGTTACAAATATAACTACTGTGCACAAAAAGTAACAAGGCAGAAGGTGAATGCATGGTTTTTATTACTGCTGTAGATACTGATGCCTGAAAGAGAGTTATGCCTTCTGAAAGATGCACTGCAAGCAGATTTGTCTGGGGACAATTGAATTAAATAACAGTGGCAGTCTAATATAATGGTACTTGTCTGTTAAATAGTTCTTATGTTTGCCACTCATGCCTAAGATATTGCCATCTTGAAATAAGATCAAATTCAAAACAGGTTGTAATAAAAGCTTACTTGCCAACACGCTTGAAAAAAGCTGAATGGTGGTGCTGCTGACCAGGCTGGAGGTGTGTACCCCTTTACACTGCAGATAAGGTGAGGAGGGGCAGGCTACAGTGCAGATGAGCAGAAGCCTTTGCCCTCTTCGTCAGTGGCACGTTTGTTGGCATACATACGCCCCTACTGCAGGTTCGACTACGCTTCGACTACAGCTCGTCACATATCACGCGTGCGAGGAAAAGGGCAGTGGAGTCAGACCATTCTGCTGATCCCAGCACCTTTAGTTATTAAGGGAAGCACCAGCGCTTCTTCATCGGTTCCCTCCTCCTTTTTTTCTGTCGCCATCCCACGACAGCCTACCCGGAGGAAAGAAGCCGGGGAGGGGAAAGTGAGGATACACCCGCACATACTGTACCCGATGCGCACGGCGAGGATGTTGCAGACAACATGAGGTGAATATCACCGACTGTCCCGAATTGGAAATACATTTTTGAAACCTTTCTGAAGACAGAAGCCCCGATTGTCGCAGCGGGTTCTAAACCTTCCTGATAGCAGTGTCTCGCGGTAGCATCACACCTCACATCCAGATAGGAAGATGTCTGCAGGTATGTAGCCTATGAAATAAAAATAAAGCACTTTACGTTTACATATCATCTCTGATTCCGATGGAGCCAGATTGTAAGTTGTGCCGTTTTATAGCCCAGTTAACGCACTGATAGGCACCTCACTTAAAAATGTCATAATCACCAATAAGCCTGCAGATATGAATGTGTTGTGTCATAACGATTTTATTTTGTCAGTGCAGATGATGCAGACAAGAGGGAGTTTTTCTCTTGGAACCTATTTCCTTCTATGGATAAATTATTTATAAATGTTTTTCAATATTTCAGAGATGCGCATCATTTCAAGATTAAAACGCTCCAATAAAACTAACGTCAAGTCAGTTAATAGGAGTCATTTGTGTTCCTGTTTGGTACAGCTAGAAATCTTAGAAGCATCTTGTACATTTGTGTTTAGACTGCAGTGGTTCTCTGTGATATTCTAGAATGGATGCAGTCTGTATGAATGTGGTGCCTGCTGCATTGCCACATTCATGCATGGCTTCAGCTGCAAAAGGTAGACCCATTCGTTTCACTGGATTTTGTCCATTGCAGCAGATCAGTGTCCTAATTTATGGGCTTCTGTACATTTTATACAAGTTTTACCTGCAGTGAAGCCATTTATATGCAAGGCGGATGGCTTATTTGCATACTGTATTCATTTGCCCAAGTCAGGAGCAGTAGTGTCAATGTCAAGTTTCCATTAGCTGATTCATTTTAGTATCAGCTGCCTTCTCATGACACTGTAACTTTACATGACTCGTATCTAATATTATGACATTGTTGTAAAGGGCTGCTTCATTTTTGTTTGGGTAATTTTATCTTGAAGTTAAAGAAAATTCCTGATGTCTTTGTGCTGTCTCAGGTTTACCTGACCTTGTTGTCTCTTTGTGTTATCTGTCCTACATACAGTCAGATCCTAGGTGACATCCTGTGGCCGTCAGGTCTTTACAGCGTTAAGCCCCCTCCCTCTCCTGGCCCTTGCCTGCAGTTCTCCAGGCTGCAGGACCCAGACTCACTGAAAAGTGCAGGCCTCCTCTCCCTGCAGAATGACTGTTGCCACAGGCGACCCCTCTGACGAGGCGGCAGCACACCCAGGGCACCCACAGGACTATGACCCGGAGGCTGATCATGAATGTTGTGAGAGGGTGGTCATCAACATCTCAGGGCTTCGCTTTGAGACGCAACTCAAAACCCTATCCCAGTTTCCAGAGACTTTGCTGGGGGACCCCAAAAAGAGGATGCGGTACTTTGATCCACTGCGGAATGAGTACTTTTTTGACAGGAACAGACCCAGTTTTGATGCCATATTGTATTATTACCAGTCAGGGGGTCGGCTAAGAAGGCCGGTTAACGTCACCCTTGATATATTCTCAGAGGAAATTCGCTTCTATGAGCTGGGTGAGGAGGCCATCGAGATGTTCAGAGAAGACGAGGGTTTCACCAAGGAGGAGGAGCGGCCTCTTCCTGACAATGAGTTTCAGAGACAGGTGTGGCTGCTGTTCGAGTACCCAGAGAGCTCAGGTCCTGCAAGGATTATTGCCTTAATCTCTGTCATGGTCATTCTGATATCTATAGTTAGTTTCTGCTTGGAGACCCTCCCTGTTTTCCGCAATGATGAGGGGGAAATGCACAAGTCTCATGCGAAAGTTTTTTCACCTGAGACTAACACCACAACCATCAGCTACACATCCACCTACTTCACTGACCCCTTCTTTATCCTGGAGACTCTTTGCATAATATGGTTCTCCTTTGAGTTTCTGGTGCGCTTCTTTGCCTGCCCCAGCAAAGCAGGCTTTTTTGGTAATATAATGAACATTATTGATATTGTTGCCATCATCCCTTACTTCATCACTCTTGGCACAGAACTAGCCGACAGGCCAGATGATGGTCAAGCAGGTCAGCAAGCCATGTCTTTAGCCATTCTCAGGGTCATCCGCTTAGTACGAGTCTTCAGAATTTTCAAGCTCTCTCGTCACTCCAAGGGGCTTCAGATTTTGGGCCAGACCCTCAAAGCCAGCATGAGAGAGCTTGGCCTGCTCATTTTCTTCCTCTTCATAGGGGTCATCCTTTTCTCCAGCGCTGTTTACTTTGCTGAAGCAGATGAGAAGCAGTCAGATTTCACCAGCATCCCAGATGCGTTTTGGTGGGCTGTGGTGTCTATGACAACAGTTGGCTATGGTGATATGGTCCCAACAACCATTGGTGGCAAGATCGTGGGCTCGCTCTGCGCCATTGCAGGTGTGCTGACCATTGCTTTGCCTGTGCCTGTCATTGTGTCCAACTTCAATTACTTCTATCACCGTGAGACTGAAGGTGAAGAACAAGCACAGTACCTGCAGGCCAATACGCCGAAAGCTGACTCAGCTGAAGAGCTGAGGAAGAGCCGGAGTGGCTCCACAATCAGTAAATCGGACTATATGGAGATCCAGGAGGCTGTTAACAACAGCAACAAGGACTTTCAGGAGGAGAACCTCAAGACAGCCAACTGCACACTGGCCAACACAAACTATGTAAACATCACAAAAATGCTCACAGACGTGTAGTCATCTGCTATTTTCTTCCCATCATAGCGGGAAACGTGGAGTTGAGCAGCCGGACGGGACAGGCGAGCAGCCTCCCACCTCACCTGTGCTGGAACGATCAAGGCAATAGAATTCAGGATGTTGATTATAATGATGATGGTGATAGACGGTGGGGAAAAAAATATATATTATGAGGACCATTCGCTCACTTTGTGCTCATCCTGTTTTCACTCACAACTTGCCCATGACTTTCAAACGACGTGAAATTTCAAATTCTCTATTCCTGCATGGAGTTGGCTTCGTCTGCGTGGCTGTTTTGAAAAGAATAATACCTAAAAATTTCCTGGTCCCCACAGTAGCCAACAGTAGTACACAAAAAAGAAACATGGGACAAACAGGACAAATATTATTGCTTAAAAAAAGCAACACAATACAAGCACAATACAAGTTTTAGTTCCCTGTCCCCTAGTTACTCATTCCACAAGGCACACTGCTTTGCCATGCGCTTTTTGAAGAGCCCCTCTTGCGTGCTACATATGCTGCTTCCTGGAGCCAGTGAAACAAAACTGTATTACACCACACCATTTAGAGATGAGGATGTGTGAGCATAAGGCAAGCCCACTCCAGTCCTGACATGGCCTGTGGGTGTTATTTGAGGAGGTTGGTGGTGAACTACACCACATTATATAAAGAATGAATGACAGCCATCAGCACTCAGCTTATGGTTTGACACCTTTTTTCCCAGTAGACATCAGTATCTGATGAATGACTGAGAATGGCCTTGACTTTTCACTGCTTTGGTCTTATATGTACTGTATGTATTGCAATGCAAGCTTTCCCCCTCCCATTCACCCAAACTGGTCTTACTACAGAGCTTTGAGGACAACTTGAATGTTTCTCCTTGTTTTCTTTGTTTTTCACAGGTTCACACATACAGTGCTTATTCATGTAGCTAGGTAGGTTAACCATGACTTAACTGATAGCTGGTAGGCCGGTGGGTGGGTGCTGTTAGTTGTAAATATAGCCAGTAGATTATTGCATGGCATTTTTTATCTGAATGAGAATTTTGACTTGTTTCTCAACTGCCACTTGCTTTGTCATACCACTGAATATTCGTCTGTACACTGCCTTCCGTACAAATCCGCACATTTAAAAGGATGCCCTGCAGGTAGCTGTTACAAGAACCTAAAGCTGTATTTTAGAGGATTTCTTAAGAAATAACCATAAGCCCACATCCCACACACAACAGGATGCAGTGTCCTTGTCAGTATCAACATTCCACGTAGAAATCATTGCCATTTGACTTCTGCCACGTCGCTGTAAACGTACTGCAGCCAAACTGTGATTTTTAGGTGTAAACTCACTTTCCAGTTTTGGACATTAATCTCAGCTGCAGATGTGATAGACTTGCAGTGATGTCTTATTCACCGATTTATCACATGATCACATCCTCCTGATCAAAATAACAACTTAAAAGGACTTGTGTATAGAACGCTTCCCCTGAACTGCCTTCTATCTGGGTTTACGCTACTCTCCTAGTGTTGCATGACCTAAAAAAAAAATTCCTAGAAGCATGCATTTAACCTCAAAGAAGAAGCCTCTGAGACAAAAGAGTCAAATTATTACAATAGGTATATTTATTTCCTATATATACATACATATATATAAAATAAATGTATACAGATAAAACACAAATCCTACTATCTGATTTTTTAAAAAAAAAAGCTTTAAACAGCTGTGTTAAAGAGAAAGCGAGAGCCTTTCCACAGATCGTCATGTTTTTAATGATAATAGTTGTTCTGAGCACTGCTTCTATGTTCTCCTGTTTCAGAGCCTGTTCAGAGTTCCAAAGACACACTCGCAGTAGCTATTTCAACAGCATTTTCTTTACTGGTGTGTTTTCCAGCAAACCCGACACACATCCTGGATTTAAATACTATACTTCACTTAGTTCAGAAGTGACTTTTGTGAAGTAATTGTCGAAAGACAGGGCGATGTTCAAAAGTGCATCAACCCTAATCATTTTCTTGTATCAGAAAGGTTTTATTGGCATTAAATTGGCCAGACGCTCAATCATTTTTAAAAGCTGGCATCACTGTGAATTAGGTTCTGATTCTAGGATCGTGTCCAGATGAGATTTCCCACCCTTCTCGTAACACTGCCAAGGTAACAGTCAATGGCAGTAACATCAATATGGGAGGTGATAATTAGCAGCAGTGTAGCAGATATTGGCTAACCTATGGGTCCTATGACTTCACTCAGTCTGTCCCAGACCCAGTCTGTCTTTCTCTGTCTTTTCACAGATGTCTTAGGTAATTACAAAGGCGATGGATTAGGGTGAGTTTTGTAGCAAACTGTCTAAATGAATCCTGTCATGCCATGACGTACATCTTTGTTCTTAGGGTTTCATTGTGCTCATTAGAGTCTTTAACCTGCAGTAGCAAAAATGTTTTTACACCATTGCTGCCAGTATCTGCTCTGGCTGCCTCTTCCAACTGCCTGACACGAGGCTTCTGAAGTCGTCTTTCTGTCCAAATCCATGTTTGCTTTCATGTATCTTGAAAAGATTTTTAAACAATTAAAAAAATTAAACTGGAGAAGTGGGGCAGCACGGTGGCGCAGTGGTTAGCATCGTTGCCTCACAGCGAGAAGGTTCGGGCCCCACCCGGGACCTTTCTGTGTGGAGTTTGCATGTTCTCCCCGTGCTTGCGTGGGTTCTCTCCGGGTACTCCGGCTTCCTCCCACAGTCCACAGCTTAGGTTGATTGGTGTCTCTAAATTGCCCATAGGAGTGTGTGTGTGTGTGGTTGTTCGTCTATGTGTTAGCTCTGCGATGGATTGGCGACCTGTCCAGGGTGTACCCCGCCTTCGCCCGATTGCCAGCTGGGATTGGCTCCAGCCCCCCCGTGACCCCGTTCAGGGACTAAGCGGTAGAAAATGAATGAAACTGGAGAAGTTAGATTTGTTGCTTTCCCACGAAAAGCACTGAAATGTTAATAGTTGGTAACTCCAAGTAGGAGCAGATTAAATGGTTACTTAGCAATATTCATATAATCCTTTGGTGGCAGGGTCTGTGTGGAGAGCAGAGATGTTTAAAAAAAACAAAAACAAAACCTGACCTTTAAGGACCCCTGCAGTCCAACCGTAATCTTATTGATCATCAATTGAGTATTGATGTGGGTGTGTTGATGCACATCTATGTAGAGTCATGTATGTGCGTGTGTTCATGAGAGAGAGAGAACGAGAACTGCTGAATATCAGTGCCCCAGCCTGGTTGTATAGCTGCATTTACTGTATGCAACAGCCATTTGCATATGTATATATGGAAAAAACACACAATCTGACCAAAAATATTTGTCTATGCATAGAAATGCATTGTATCTTACTGTCATCATTCAGTTTCTCTGGACAAATATTTATGATACATGTTAATAGATGCACAACCTTAATCTGTTATGTTTAAAACTGGGCACATTAATGTACCTCATTCAAATTCACTATAGCAAGTGTTATACTGGAATACACAATGTTGTCATTGTAGTCATTTCTGTTTAAAGCACAAATACCAGTAGAATCATTCTTACCTGTAAACCTGGAGATTTAATCTGTACAATGCTTTTATTAAGTAGGAAGTCAAGTAAAAAATAAATAAATAAATATCATCTCTGACCTGCTGAGGGACCCACCAGCAAATCCACTCCATGAGAATGGTGCCCAACAGTGAATACATTGAGAAATCTATGCAGAGAATGATTATTAGCTGGTAGTCTGGGGGGGAAAGATGGTTTCAGTATAAACTTACACCGGTTTCATGTTGATTCTGACAGCCGGCAGAGCATCTGAAACGAACCTTTAAACAAAAGTGAAACGCTGCAATGTTCTGCTGTTGTGCGTCAAACGCTGGCACATTAAAGAATATATTTGGGTTTGTTTGAGTTGCGATGTCAGTTCTTTGAGATAAGGCTCTTAAATAAACACATACATACAGCACAAAAAACAAGATGATCAATATGCAATCTGAATGCATGTGTGTACGTGAGGACAAACATTTTTCGTTTTATTTGACCCCAGATCCTGACAGTGTGACATCCGTGGAAACAATATGTACAGTTGTTCTCCTCACTCCCCCTTTCCCTGTGTCATAGAGGTCTTAAAACATTCATTGATGTTGGTACAGTGGATAATGGATTTTCTTTCTATGAAATGAAATCTGAGAGAGTAATGTAAATAATAGCCAATGGATGATGGAACAAAACCATGTACTATATACTGTATATGAACTCTGGATTTAAACCGTAGTATTATCTGCACTTTACAAGACATAAAGGACAATCTATGGAGAAGAAAAACCTGAAGTTAAAATGCATATAATCCTTCCAAATGATCATAACCCTGACAAAGTAATATCATTAATGAAGCCAATAATAATTCAACTGAAATTGTGTTGTGTGTTTATTGTGTCATGTTTAATCCTGGCTACAGTCAAAAGATGTGATATGGTGTTTTTCCAGTGTTTAACCAACCTTTTGTCCTCACATCATGCTGCTCACAAGGTATACAGGCTGCAAACCTTGTGCAGCGCTTGTTTTAGCCCAACAACACAAAATGCCGTGAATCGATCAAAGGGCTCTTTGTTGTTATTCTTAGGCCATCCAGCATCTTTGTAGCCACGGGCTGTGTGGAGGACATTTTCAAATGGTATCTAGAGCATCTTCCTCCCTTTAGGTGCACAGTATATGCTCCTACACTTTAAAAGAGAAAGCAGGGTGCTCTATTAATAGCATTTTTGTTGGAGAAAGAGGGAGGAGGAATGTGAGTGGAGGAGAAGACAGAGAAGGGTGGGAAGGAGATAGCCTTAGAGGAATCATTCACAGTGAACTTTGAATGGCACAACAGGCATGGCATCCATGTGCATCAAGTCATGATCATAAAAACTGATGCAAATTCATTGTTTTCCCATTATAGATGCTTTTTTGGTGGGGGGGGGGGTGTCTATGTCATATGTCAAAGGTATAGCTATGTCATAGCTATACCTTGGAGGTGCTGTGATGATGCTATGTTCATATGATTTTTGCTTGAACGAGCCTCTTCTCGCCTGTCACATCTACACCTGAGAACACAGCTTGTGCTGTCTTCTCTATCTTTAGTCCACTTGTGGTTTAACTACAGCTCTGCATTGTGAGCAGGAACATTTGGGGCCTCAGTGCTGTAGCTACATCTCTGCTGTGGTCATTACTCTTGCTTTGATCCAGCGATGCGGTGCAGCACGCTGCTTAAAACCAGGGCACACGGGGAGAGGCAGGCAGGATGGAGCAGCCCAACCAAGGACACAGCCAGCAGGAGCACAGGCCCACTGCAGGTGGCTGCTGCAGCATTGTTGTTGATGGGGAGGAATGAGTGGGTTTGTATGTGTTGTTTGTCTGGGATGGTAGCATGCCCAAGGGAGCACGGTTGAGCAGTCGTCCACGCTTGCACTGTGCTTACCAGCTTGTAATTATGAGACCAGCACTGTGGGACTTGCTGCCAATCCAACAGGGCTTCCCTGGCACTCGACCACACCCCACTATAAGGAGGTGTTCAGCTTTGCACTCATTAACTCCTGCCCTGATATCTGCCACGGAAGGTTTCTGTCCTCACTTGAGATGCACTGCAGGTCTTTAAAATGCTGAGATTACGTGGGTGTTTCTTTCACATTCTGTCGGAGTGACTGGGATTTTGTAGTTTGCCTTGAAATGACAATTAAAATTATGTAAGCAGATGTTCAGTTTGACTTGGTACCTTGTTTCTCCAATGACAGTGAAGATGAAGGAGAAAGCATTACTGCCCTCTAGGGGCGTTCATGGGCAAACAATGTATGTTTTCCTCTGCTACACTGATCTAGCAGCTACTTTTAAGACTAAGATTTCACAAAGAATTGTCCAAAATCTTATTTTATAATAAAGTATTTGCACAGCACAACACAAACACTGCAGATGAATCCATTTTCATCCTGTTTGTGCTCAAACTGCACACTAAAGTGGACACGTGGTCATAGTTGAAGCATCCATTACTGTATGTAGCTGTATGGGATAAACTTTTTTTTTTTTTTTAAATTAAATTATAGATGTATGTAGTGTGGGTGGCACAGCTGCCTTAATAGAACATGTTTTGTCATGTTTGTCATTCTTCCTTACATACAGGGGGGTAAAATATTATTTCAAAGAGTATGAAAGATACATGTTAATTGATTTATACAGGAACATGAACAGCTGTGAAAATGCCTCAGCTTATCAGTACATTAGCCCTTTTTCTTATTGGACCATAATGCTGTTGTGTGAAAACCAGTGCCCTCACTTCTGCAGTCTTAAAGATTTATCACTGCTCTATTCTTCTGAAGCAGCAACCCATGCAGTCACACTATGTTCCACTGGAAAAGGAGATATCTTGTGCGTGGAGTTGAATACCTGTCCATCTGTCCCCGGTAACATGACAGCAGCCAGGGCTTTTCAGCACCTCTGAGACACACACACCTGGGTATCCAATTCCTGCACGTACAGTACCAGTACACTGAGGCTACACAAGCAGAAACTTCAAGAGGATTCAGCAGAAATATTTTATAAGCAGGGAAAGGCCTGATGGGTGCTGTGTGGGCTTCAGAGCTGCACTCTGGTGATAAGGCCTATATAGACCTCAGAGAGACTGTATTATGTGCAAGGTACAGTCATAGATGCTAAATGCTAATTATCTTTATTGACCTGTCAGTATCACCAGCTACAATTTTCTTCTTTGTAATGTTGTTTATTGCTTCATCTGAAGGAGAGAACACGTCCTAGAGCGCCACCGGCCTTAAATTATTTGATAATTAGCACAAAACCCAAAGCACAGCTGAGGTTGATGGGAGTGTCATTATTCTTAATGGTACTTGCTCATAAATAAAGTATGAGATGAATTAAAAATTTGACCTGATGATGGCGCTAGATAAAATTTTAATGGATTGGCAATGTCATTACATTTCATCCCTTGGGAAACATGAATGTGTGTAGCAAATTTCATAACAATGTATTAAAGTGGTTGAGACCTTTAAACAAAACAAAACAAAAAAAAAACCGTGGTGGCGCTAAAAGATGGTCACTAGCCTGGTTTTAATTTCACCAGTGATTTGCACTAACTGGTAATGTAGTGAGGTTTGTGTATTGTTTTTGTTGTTACTCGTGGTATAAAAGTAGAGTTTGCATATAAAATACATAAAGACGTACTTTGACTTCTGGTGGTATCCAAATGTAGAACATTTTAGTTTCATTTGGCAGTTAAGCTTGTTTGATTTCTGCTGCAGGGATTTTGTTAGTGATTCTTAGAGGAATTAAAACATTTATTTTTAAAATGCAACAAAACTAGGGATGTACAAGAGGTACCTCCATTCACAGTGAACTAAAATGCAGTAGGAGAGTGTAGCTGTGTCCGAACAATTCCACTCTCACCCTTACCACTGTTGCTGTACTTCAATCTGTCACCCTCCTCTGACTTTCAACAATGAATGGACAAGTGAGAGTTCAACGAGGTGAACATGGAGAGAAAAGCTAGTATGTGATCAGTGAATCCTACACACAGGTGTGAAATATGATAGAGAACCAAGCAAGTCTGCCTGGCAGGCAGACGGACAGGTTCGGGACTTTGTAGCAATGATGAAAAACGAGCCCTGTGCTGCACAAAGAGAAGTTCACTTAAGTCTCGGCCTTGTTACGTTGATGGGGAACAGGCGGACAGCTGAGTGAAAGTATCAGTTTCTGTTCAAAAAAGGCAAAAATCTTCCAAAAGACAAAAAGTTCCAAGTGACATCTACTGACCTTCTGTCAGCGTCTTGTAGATTTTGCTGCATAACTAAAGTAAATTACTGCCAAAATGATATCATTTGACTTCTGAGCAAAGCTGAAATAACATGATGAGAAAAGGGAAACTGTTGCTGCTGTCCAAAGCCTCTGTCTTGTTTATGGTATATTTAACTGGACCTGCCCTGCCTTCTGCCCAAACCTCCTCCTTCAGACAGATATAAAACTATGTGCACATCTCTGTCATTGTGAGTGTGACTTCAGACAAACTTCTTTTACAGCTGGATAGTAAGGTGAATTCAATGTAATGCTTTTTATATTAAGACTAATACACATGATTAATAATGGAGTATTTTTAAACTAATACAATGTTAATATTTAAAGAAGCCAGATTAAAAAATAATCAAGGAGAAAGTGATGCACCTTGATTGTTAGACTGTTTTAATAGTGTTAAAACAAATCAGTGAAAGTGTTCAGTTGTAGTACTGACAACAGCTTTAGGATTACAATGCTGAAAATACCTGACATTATAGCTGAATGTAAAAAATGTCAGCTCACATTACAAATCTCACTGGTGTTTTCTTCTTGTCATAATATTTTATTCGTTACAACAGGCCATATTGAAACGTGAGGAGGGGGCTCGGTGTAACGCGGGAGGCTCTGGATGAGCTCAGAGCGGCCTGCACCCACAGATCCTCCCTGTCCAACGGTGAGCATGTCAAAATAATGGGAGGTATTTGTCCTCTTGACTCTCCCAGCTGTGTGTGATAGTGCTTTGAAGGAATCTACACTGTGTAATGATCCTTATGTTAATATGTTGGCATTAATCTGTTGATACTAAAGAATGGTTTTCTGTTTTAACCGCTGAAGCAAATGTCTCCAAAGAATGGTTGTTTGCAAGAAAAACAAAAGGTCAATTAATTAATTAGGTAAAACCACTGAGGATTGCAGTGTTAAATGCTGAGGCTGCACCTGAATTGGTTTGGTATGAACACCTGTCGTGCTGGGTCCAGAGGCTGGAAACAAACCAGACATTTCATCTATCTACTGACCAAAATGAAAAAAAGAGATGTTTTTAATCCCAGTGAGGCTTTGCTGGTTAAACAAGGTTTAAATACTGTAAACGTAGCCAGACCCAAACTGGGACATAGTGGAATAACCAGCTGCCTTTACAACAGCGATAACATTACTAGGCTGGAATATCTAATGGGTGCAACCTGGCATGCACTTTGAAATCCTGTCATCCTTAATGGATGAGTATAAGGGCTTTTAAGATGGAATTACTCAGATCATGTGCACAAGATGAGTAACACAACTTTTGTTACTGACCATCTACAGATGTCAACGTTTAACCTTAAACACGAGGGCAGTACAGATAAATAATAGTAAACAAACTAACTTCTCTAGCTGCTTTCCCAGACTTACCCTTTTAAACAAACACATGAAGATGAGCACTGTATATAATAACAACAGACCAAATGACAATGTGAAAGTGTTGCTCACCTGCAGGTTATTGTCACCTGAAGCAGAAGCTGGCTTTAGAACGAGGCCATTGTTCAGCTGAGATGTACTGTTCTGGTTCATGCTCATAGTTTAACATGTAACAGTTTAACATTCACAGGAGCTATATTTTGTATTATGATTATTTTGACTTTTGAAAACTTTAAGTACGGTTTTGTAATTTCACTTATATATTGGTGTATTTAAAAAGAACCATGCACATTAATAAACATTACTGTAAAATCCACCTATAGGGTGCAGACAGATGTTACAATATCAAAAGAATGCAGAAACATAAGACTAAAATGTTAATGGTTATTGAAAGCATCTTTAAGCATGCACTGAAAACAAGAACACAATTTTTATAGTAGTAAAATAAACGAACATACAGAACACCATTAACAGCATATTAAGGTATTAATCTGATTAAATGATATGTGCATTTAAAGTCCAGTCACTGTGGTGTTCTTGTGTTTTCTCAGCAAATGGTGCTCAGGTGTCCCTGACTCAAAGTCGAGCTATATAAAGGTGTGTATAGGTGTTTTTACCTATGCAGTGTCAGTATAGTTCACACACAAGCCTGCTGATGGAGAAATTGCTTTATCAACAGTCTGTTAAGGAGTAAGGCGATAGTGTCACGGGGAGGAGGGCTGTACACAGGGTGGGAGGAAGGAGGGGTGATGGAGTGAAGGCTGACTGAAGGGACAGAGGGAAGGATGTTATTCTTCTGCTGCCCTGTCAGGAGTCCTGGGACCAGTGATACTGCAGTAGCTGCAGTCCATCTCATCCTGCAGCTCATTACTCATCTAGTTACTTCCCATTTTTCTCTTTTACTGACGTAGATTGTTTTGCAGGAATGGATCAGCTATTTAACCCCTGCCTGACTCATGCAGTTTATGGTCTTTCCCTCACCATCCATCTTCCTGTCTGCCTGTCATTGCCTATAGCAGATACTATCATGAAGTATTTAAGTGACAGGTCATGCCTCATCTGACTGCACCGTCAGTGACATGTCCATGGCCGTGCAGGATCACATAAGAGAAAGAGCCCTTCACATTGAGTCAGCTGAGTGATGTTTGTGTGCACGCTCTATATGTGCATGAGCATTCCTGGGTGTATATCTCGTACACAAAATTGTTAGAATTATATTCACATATGAGATTTCTGAAGGTGACTGGTGGCGTATAGCAAAGGAAAGCTTCCAGTTTTCTGTGACCTTGAAGCCGTGTGCCTGCAGTGGTGCTGCTCCTTGTCGCAGTGTTACAGGGGACCAGGAGACAGACAACTCCTGGCTGCAGCAGGATGAGAGTGAGAGGAGGAAATGTTTTCTAAATTCAGGAAACTCTGGAAACACAATATTTGACCTATGTTGCCAAATTGGCCGTCCTTCTGAAGTACAGCATTGTTTTGATTAAAGTTTTTGCTCCCACGGAGAATTAAGCAAAACTTTTAAAAAAAATTGGAGAAAGAAATAAAGTGGAGTTTATCTGTGATTTGAATTTTGCCTTTTAATTTGACTTTTCCTATATTTTCAAAGCCACAGACCTGCTTTCTTAATTTGACAAACCTTCAAATGCTGGCAGGCACAAAGGTGCTGCAGGGATAACAGAAATGGAAAAAACACATCTGGAAGATATTCTTAGAAAGGGACGTACTCTCTCTCAACCCCACTGACCCTTTCACAAATCTATACTTAATATCTCAAGGGGGACTGTGTGCCCAGAACAAATGATCTCAGTGAAAAATTCAAGTATTTATCAGTAACACAGTCTCTAATTCTTGTTTTTCCAAACTGGAACTGGCAGATGTGTATAGATTTGCATCAGGACATCTGGGTAGGAGTGTTATTAAAGAAAAAAGAAAAATAAAAGTTGAATGAAGATGTTAGGAAAAATTTGGGACAAAACTGTGACAGTTTAATTACCAATACAGTTTCACAGACTATAATAGCAGATGAAATAACAGCTCCCATCAGCATGTAATGCTGAGGATGAAAGCAAGAGCTCCCCAGTCAGATGACCATGACAGGTACTGTACCAGGGAAGAATATAGTCTAATGCTCAAGGTGAGGGTGGATTGGATGATGCTGCATGTGGATGCTTACTCTGCAGGAGAGAGAGGAAAGCGTGGATCCCACTTTTCCTTTGCCACATGAAACGGCGATTGGCTCCTGCAGAGTAAAGCTCCTATCAGAAAGCCACCTATGGAGTCCTCATGTATCCCACTGACAGGAGAGGGAGCAGGGAGAGGAGCCGGGTGACCCCACGTTTAAAATATAGTGAGTGGTTTGCATGTGTGTTTGTCCTGTGTGTGTGCACATGTGAATGGTTGTGAGATTGTGTGTGTGTGGGCACCTCAGGCATCTCTGGTTTCGTATAGGGTGTTAAATTTCCCAGTGGGTGCTTTATTAGAGCTAGAGACTCTTGACTGTGAGTCTGGATAAGGAATAGTGTGAAGGGAGGAAGGGGGAGCAGAGCGGAGCTGCCAGGCAGGGTAGAGAGGGCACAACAACTTCTGCAGAGCCCGGGACACGGGTGAGTGCTGCGGACATCTGCACACAGCTGGATTTAAACTATTTGCATGTATTTGTGGGTGTTCTGATCTTTTAAAGGCGGCGATATCAGTGGAGCTGTTGTGTCTCTCAGTGTCAGCTCAGTGTGAGAACAGGCAGAGTGAGTTCAGTGGTAAGATTTTAGCGGCAAAAAGTTGCTTTTAGAAACAATTAAAACACGTTTGAGATGCAACGATGTGAACCTAATGGCTCTTTTCTGTTCTCTGCATCTTCAGCTCTCCTTTTGGATTCAATAACTCTATGCTGTCATAGTGCAAACAGTACACTTGTGTTTTGCATAAGCCCTGTTATATATCCATATATAAGAAGTTTTATATCCTGGACTGTTACGTTATCTGCTCCGGTGCAAATGGACGTTGAGCCAGATGAGTCTCTTTAGTGGCCTGGGCCCGTGGTGTCAAGTGGACACAGAGGTTACAGCTTAAAAGCATGTGTCAGGTTTTGGTTACCTGTCTGAACCAGACAAATGTAATGCTAAACAGCTACTTAGAGGTAAAGACAGACCTGAAAGAGATTGGATTCACTAGTTAGAAACTGACTTTGAAACATTTAAGTTTTGGGAGAAAAAAATTTTTTTTGGTTTTGATGAGTTTGTGCTTTCGATTGTAAGTGAAGGCTCAGATGTTTTTTCTATAAAGAAATGAAACCTGTTCAGTTTTGAAGCACATGATCAGCAATAATACTATGCACGGTCCATGTAAGCACTTCCACGGCCAAACCTGCTGAGTTAGTGTTTCTGTTTAAGTCATGGAAGAGAACTGGGGGGAAAATAACTGTACAAGCACAGTATCAGATGGCAGGTTCCCTGCTGAGGCAAACAGGAGCTCATCACCCACAAAACTGTTTGGCACCATTTAACAACATTTAACACAACTTCACCCCCCCCACCCCTTTTTTTTTGTTAAACAGATTACACAGAAGGCTGAATACAAAGGTATCTTACAGCTGCCTGGATGATAACCAGGAGTCGGGAGGCCCAGCCAGGAGCTTCAGTGTGGGACTGCTGGTGGTGGTGTCTCCTCCGTCTCCTGCACTGAAGCCAGGCTGATAGACGGAGCTGTGGGCAGTGACAAAACAGACGATGGAGGTACCTCTTGTTAATTTTGAGAACATGGATGATGTCGGCATCCACCTGGGTGACCCGAGCGACTCCGGGTACCCGACTTCACCCCCCTCAGAGGCCCCTGATCAGAATCTGTTAACACACCGTTTCACTTCTCCTAACCTGTCTCCACACAGACAACGAAGTGAGCATCAGTCTGGCCAAGATGGGTTGTCGCCATCCACTCCTCTGACGCAGACCACAAAAGCAGACTCCAGCAGTGGGAGTTTGATCTCTAATCTGAAACTCCTGATCAACAGTGAGTCTCCCACTGACAGCATCTTCAGTAAGATGGCAAAGGATTGCTATGAGAGTGAAGATTTGTTTGAAAAGCATTACATGGAAGAAAAAGATGAGAAAGTTATCATTAATGTTTCAGGCTTGATGTTCGAGACCCAGCTCAGCACCCTGAATAAGTTTCCCGAGACGCTGCTCGGTGACCCGATGAAGAGGATAAGCTACTTTGACCCAATGAGAAATGAGTACTTCTTTGACAGAAACCGCCCATCCTTTGATGGGATCTTGTACTACTACCAGTCAGGAGGGAGACTCCGCCGGCCAGCCAATGTTCCCTTAGATGTTTTCACTAATGAAATTGTCTTCTACGAGTTGGGCAGTGAAGCGATGGAGCAGTTTTGTGAAGATGAAGGGTATATCAAAGAGCCAGAGGTCCTTTTGCCCACCAATGAACTCCAGCGGCAGTTCTGGCTCCTGTTTGAATATCCAGAAAGCTCCAGTGCAGCCAAATCCGTAGCTCTGGTCTCTGTGTTTGTTATTGTCATTTCCATCTTCATCTTCTGCCTGGAGACTCTGCCAGAGTTCAGGGATGACCGTGACTTACTCCCAGGTTTACCTCAAGCTCTCAATGGCACCCAAGACAGTTCTGCCCCTCAAGCTGCCACTAAAGATGTAATGGCTTATATAACAGACCCCTTTTTCATTGTGGAGACTATTTGTATCATTTGGTTCTGCTTTGAAGCCGGTGTCCGCTTCGTGGTGTGCCCCAGCAAAAGCGATTTCTTCAATAATATCATGAACATCATTGACATAGTCTCTATAATTCCCTACTTTGTAACCCTGGGCACTGAACTGGCTACGACCCCAGATGAGGACATGAACTCTGGTCAGAACATGTCGCTGGCAATCCTAAGAATCATCCGTCTAGTGAGAGTTTTTAGAATTTTTAAGCTCTCCCGACACTCAAAAGGCCTTCAGATCTTGGGTCAGACTTTGAAAGCCAGTATGCGAGAACTGGGGCTGCTCATCTTCTTCCTTTATATAGGAGTCATCTTGTTCTCAAGTGCCATCTACTTTGCAGAAGTGGATGAGCCCCAGACACAGTTTGTTAGCATCCCTGACGGCTTCTGGTGGGCTGTGGTGACAATGACCACTGTGGGATATGGAGACATGTGCCCCATCACCATGGGAGGCAAAATGGTCGGCACACTCTGTGCCATTGCTGGTGTCCTGACCATTGCCTTGCCTGTTCCTGTCATTGTCTCCAACTTTAACTATTTTTACCACCGGGAGACTGAGCAAGAGGAGAAGCAGATTATTGACGCTGCAGCAGAGGCTGCCCAGAAACTGTCAGCTGCTAACAAGTATGGAAGCACACCTTCGCTAAACAAAAGTAATGGCACTTGGCAGAATGAGAAGAATGGCACGACAGAGAAGCTAGAATAGCCATTAATATAAAGGGCATGAAAAACACATGGACAAATCAAACATCTGTTAGTTACACTGGGTGATAACAGTTTATCTTTCTCACTGTTTTGTGTCCAGACATGACGGCATTTGTGCATGTTATTACAGTATGAACTGGCACTGTGGTGAGACAGCCTTTACACAAGTTGTCTTTCTGCTTGTGGATGTGTCAAAGTGCAATTAATACAACTCAACAACTACTGTCTCAGTTATCTTTGATGAGAGGAACCGAAAGGTATGATTATTATCTTTCATTCAGCACAGTTTGAAGGAAAAAGTGATGGCACATTTGTACTACAGACAAACAGTTTTGTCTGAAAATATAGTTGTAAAATGTCCCCCTGGTTTGTTTAACAGTACGTTTATCCCACAGAGAAAACAAATAAAAACGGTTTTGATAATTGTAGCATTTTTGGCTGGAGATGCACTTGAAGCTCATGTTACATCACAGTTACATGATAGTCATATTCAGCAACATCTAAACAGACCTTGGCAGGATTTCCAAGGGCAGGCGAATGTGTCCAGTATAAGGCAAGAGGACGATCAGGGCACACGGTCTGATCAGCCAATCTAAAGCTGTGACTATTCCTCCAGCAGCACTTCTCCAGGGTAACAGTGATAAGTCGTTTGCATGTTAGCATGTCTCCTATTAATCTTATAGATAGGCTGCAAAATGTAAATCAAACGATGAAACTGCTTAACATTCACTGTATTATAGTACATGAAGTGCCTGCATGTAGTTTCAGTCATTAAATCGCAGGGTTTTTTTGGGGGGGGTGGTTACCTATTTTCATTTGATTTAGCGTTTTTCACCAGATGACAGAGATTTAGCTATATGTGTAATCACCCCCAAACATGTTATTATAATGTGCATTGACCTTTTAAAAAACATCACTTCATTGCACTTAGCGTTTTTTCTACATTTCTCAAGTATTTTTGGAGCAGTACACCATCGGCTGTTTATGATCAGACAGAGTAGTGAAGAGGGTAAAGACGACAACTTTGACCATTTGTTCTGTCATTTGTATTGCATGGCGTAGTGTGCTGAAATGAAGTTCATCTGTTATTATCAGTAACTGGAAATCTGACATTTATTGCAGCTAAATATATTATAGCATCTTAATCATATAGTGATGATCTTTATATTCCATATGACAAGGAAAGCCAATATTTTAACTGGATTTGTGATGGCGACAGATCAAACCTGGGAAACTGAAGTGGTTCTATATATGCATGCCACATTTCAATCTCGAAAATGTACTGTATGTGAGTTAATTATACATATAAATACAGCTTGTATAGACATAACAGTGGATGTACTGTAGTTGTAACCAAGTCATTGCCTCTCTAATAACTCTACAATATGCAATAATGATGACGTGGGTGGAAAATGAATATGCTGTATTTTTCACTCATGGAAAATGCAAAAGCAAATATAAAAATGCAGTAAGGTGACTTCAGTTAGTCACACTGGTACTTGGCACTTTACTGTGTTATGAAGCACTAAATATTTGAAGACGTTACTGTGTGTGTCAACCTTGTACAGTACACAGTGTCATAATTTGCTATGTTTTATTTATCCTGTAAAGAGTGCCTTTCATTAAATGTGTATCCTAATTATGTGAAGTTTCCCTCAGGTGATTTTATTTCGGGGATAAATCATCCCCTGTGTTTGACAATAGTGGTGATTAATGGAGGTGTATGTGTCAGTGTATGGCTTCAGAGCTGAATGCTCATTATCACCTCGTGTTAGCTGTTATTAATGCATCCTCATTGCTAGTTCTCAGCGCTGATATCACGATGGCGTACATCTCTCTCCCCCTCTTTCCAAAAATTTTCCCCTGTGAATCGTGACTAAAAATGTGTCACATCACAAGACAGAAAAGAGAGAGATTTAGATCTGGTGTGATGGTGTTAACGGCAGACTAGAGGAGCAGACGTTTCTTGCTGTGTGTTCTGTAACAAGTTATCTAATGAAGAAAGGAGCAGAATATAGCCTGGCTATTAATAGGTAGGATGCTCAAAATTAATTACACTAGATGGAGGAATTCTCGTGCCGTGCGCTTCACAATGCCTTTAAGTGGGATTGCATCAAAACCAAAAGCACCAAATTAAATATGCAGACCAGATGAATCATTCATAGGATTATCTATCTCGGCCTCCAAGGCTAGGAACTGGATGCTTTATTGTCCCATAGAGTGACATCAGCACATTCTGTATATGTAATGCCTGTGGTTGTAGAGTTCATTCAGAAATTCAGTTCTGCCTCAGTTGTTACTTGCTAAAATATACTGGCTGTGTTTTTTCAGTCTGTTCATCTTGTCACCAGTTAACAGTCGGGCCAGCGGGCCGCCCCTCTGCCCTGCTGATCACTGGCCATGCAGTGATATCCTAAAAGGAGGCCTGATAGTTTTTCAACAGTTAACAGACAGGTGGCTCTGGCAAGGTCAAAGCCAGTGTGAGTTTGCCATTAATAATTCATCAGGTGTTCCACAGTGAGATCACATCTACCCAGCCTATGATGAAAAAACACCAAACCCACGTGAAGACCAGCAGATGTTCCAATCATTGCAACACAGCAGACTGTACTTCTACCCTGAATGGATCTAAAAATATCTTTGCTGCACGACTCCCCTCATTCTTCCCCTCATTGGCCAAGTCAGTGACGAGCTGCTTTAAGGGAAACAATGGATGGGTCTCACACGAAAGCTCAGACAGGGAGTGTCATATCAGTAGATTGGGTTACTGTGTTGTAAACAGACACATTATAAGCTGAATTTCAGGGCAGCCTGTGACCAACAGTTCACGGCCTCCAGAGGCCAAAGTCACTCAGAGCTGGGCAGCTTGTTTGGAATAAATCCTTCCAAAGTGTCCAGTTACTTCCACTGACTGTAACTGGATGGTGGCATCAAGCTGCATCACTGCTCCAGTGACCGTGCATTTACGTTTTTGATCAGTGTAAATGCAGTGCTGCTTTGGACCACAGCAGGTTTAATACTGAAGCAGTCCTCATGGGTTATTATTGATTAAAGTTCAACCTTGGCATGTACACAGTGTTAGTATGTAATTGAGACTTTGCTGACCAACAACATTCAGACATGGGTTTTTCATGACTTCTAGAACTTCTTTATTGACCACAGGGAATAAATCAAAAATAACAAACAAGCAGCATGTTTTTGGTCTAAGCTTGTGAGATACTCCATCTGCTCTCTCAGTCCTGGAGAGGACAAAGGGCTGACAGGTGGACACAACCTGCTTATCACTGTGGGTGATGGAGGCTCAGACATGCTCACACAGTCCTCCTCATGTCTGGGAAGTCATTCTGTTTATCATTTATAGCTTCTTTTTCTTCACCCCCGCTGGAAATCCCTGATGTCACTGAGGCATCCAACACATTACCGCTGTGTCAGATTTCAAGATAACACGTGATTAATCTTGAATACATTGTATTATGTACCATTATCTGGGTAATAGATAGCATTTAACCACAAATGTGTCTTTTCCCTCAGTTATTCCTTTAGTCAGTAAGGCTGATGAAGCTTGTTTAAAAATTTCCTATTGTCAGCAAATCCCATGAAAAGGTCAAAACCGAAAGTGAACTGATAAGCATGTGCCACATTGTTGTCGAAAAACACATCGAAAAACACAGTTGCACTGGGCGAGTTCTTTTTTCATTATGATGACCATGAACACTGTAGATTATTTTGATTTGAGCCATATCTACCACACACCTGAGAATTTGCTCCTGCTCATGTCACATTGACTAAAGTCTGCCGCGCTGCTGCTGTTTAAGGACGTTACTGAACCTTTGAAAAATGAACGTATGTGGCCCGATTTAAGAGAGATTTGCATCTTCTGGGGGAAGGAGATTGTTGTCAATAGCAAAAATATAAATTACTGTCATACTTGTCTTTCAGTGTCAGCAGATACAGTCATGCTTTGTATTTGCATTTTGATTTGAAGAGACCACACCAGGCGTTTATAGTGCTAGTAGATGTTGCCAGGAAACTGTTAAACATTAGCAGACGCTCTCTTATATTTGTCTTTTAGTTATATGATATGAAGTGTTATAAGAGATGTAACAGAAGGACTTTGTTCCTAAAATATCTTCACGTGTTGTGGTTTACCTTAGTAATTCATAATGGCTTAAAGGGACACATGGATCACCGGCCCTCAATTTGTCAAATAATCCATTATGATTAATATCAGAGTACATCAATAAAGTGTTTAGAGTGACCTGTAAGTACAGGTAATAAATATATTACTAGAGCTTTTGGTATCTACGTGTGCTTTCTCAGTTCTGCACTGCTGAGACTCACCAATTCCCTATCTATCATTTTAAGATTGGAGAGTGGAGTCCCTAGATGGGAGAGGGCGGGTAATGACTCAAGGAGATAAAGATTTATGACAGGTAACTGCACGGCTCCACTGCAGTGCGTCAGCCCTGGAGGTCACTGACCAGACCTTGTGGGCCGAAACTTGAGTCTCACATTTGTCCTGCTTATAATGTCCATGAAAAATGAAGAAGGTGCCCAAAAAGTATCACAGCAGATGATGTGTTTGCCTTCAGATGACCGCAAACTGCTCTCACATCTGGAACTACTAGATGATATGACTGTACCATTGAGCAAGGCACTTGCAGTAGGCTACAATAGTGGAGAAGGTAGCTCAAAACAAACATGTAAAATATACTTAAAGTACCAAAAGGAAAGGTGCTCGTTAAAGAGAAAAGTGCCGCCCTGTGTGTGTTAGTGCTACTGGATTATTATTACTGATGCATTAATGTGCAACTCTTTTACTGTTTATATTGTACAGTGTTGGATAGTTTTATCTAGAGCAATGAATCGTGTTGTGTAAGATATGTTTTCATAATCTGTAAAGTAACTAATAAGTAAAGCTATTAAATAAATGCTGTGGAGTAAATAGAATCAGCTTTTCCATCTGAATTGTACAGTGGTGGAGTAAAGCATTAGGAAATGTAAAACTCAGGTCCCTTGTATTTGTACTTAATTCCAGTACTTCAGTTGATGTACTTTCTACTACTGTCAACAGGGAACACACTGGGTCCCACATTCTATAATTTAAGGAAACAGCATAGGATTCATTGCAGAACAGAAAAAGCAGGAGGAACCTGTTTCACAGAGTTTGGGGTGACACCCTTTGGCTTTACTGTGGTACTGCACAGAATCAAAGTGGTGGAAGTTCAGACTAATTTATTTGGCTTTTCTGTGAATCTGTTGGCTCACATCTTCTGCCAACCAGACGAGCGCGGCCTCTGTCCAACAAAGACTGATGACAAGCTGTCGAACACGTGCAATGTTTATGGACACTGTTTTTTATAGTGGCACCATAGCATCACATGCAAATATCGTAGCTGTCATGTGGCTCATTTTATACGTAGTTCACCCTGAAATATTTAACATCTTTGCAAATGCTGGAATTTGAACAACATAAAGTTGGGGTTACATTATAGTTACAGTTTTACATTCTGTTTTAATATCAGAATTAATGTGTAATTAATGTGTAAATCTGAATCACGCCATTTCAGATTAATTAGAATAACTGTACAGTGCATTCAGTACACCATAATAAGGCCTGGTCTTCAACCTGTGTTTCCCCGAGAACAGAAAAATGATCAGCCAGGTGATGAAAGTCACGGGATTATGACAACAACTGAATGGTTGCTGTAGTCTCACCAAACAAGGAAAGACAAACTAAAGAAGCTGATCATCTAAAACCAGTTCCCCTACTGAGCACCTACCCAGTTGCTTTAGCTTACAGAAAATGTTTCCAGTTTCCAGTAAACTAGCCCGAGGGAGTTACTCATAAAGTCAGGTGGGCGGGAAATTATGTTAATGAAGAGAACATAGTGATTGCAAAACCTGGGAAAACTGTTAGAGGTGAAGTCATGGTGAATGTGGTAAATGATTAACAAACTGCAAAGGTGAACGTGCTGGTGATTGATTTGGGTTACTGATACAGCCTAAAGACAACTCGGCACAATACAACCCAAAATAACAATGCAATCAAAAAAATTACAAACTCTTTATAGCATATCTGGAAAATGAGTTACAAATATCATTATTATTACTCAAAACAGAAACAATTCATTGAGTAGCTGAACATGTATTAGCAATTAATATGGTCATCGATTAATTAAAGTAATTTTTAAACACAAAACGCAGAGCATCCTCTGATTTGTGCTTCCCTGGTGTGCTTGTTGCTTTTCAGATCAGATTAATCATGAAAGAAACTAATAGTGAGCTGTATTTTATTATGTGACCTGTCCAGGGTGGACCCCACCTCTCGTTCCAGCCCCCCACGACCCTCGTTAGGATAAGCATTAGAGATAGTGGATGGATGGATTTTATTATTTTTGCTGCTGTGACTTTTACTACTTTTGTTGACCTTACTAAGGTTTACAAGTTTAGACAAGTGCTCTGCCATCTTGAATCTTCTTGTTCACCTAATATTTCTAATTTACTTTTCCTTTATTTAATGATCATGTAATTTTCCTTTATAAAGGAAAATGTATGCAGTTGTAATGGTAATGATGATTTTCTTTATTATTATCATTATCAAACTTTTATATCACTGAGGACTGAGAACTGTGTTTATTCGACAAGAATACGGGTGCTTGTTGCAAAGTAGCAATGCATCACACTGAAACAAGAATTTAATTGTTAGCCTCACAGAAACACTGTATGATGAACAAGAAGATTCAAGATGGCACAGCTCTTATCTGAATGTGTAAACCTGGGTAAAGTCAACAAAAGTAGCCAAAATTTGAGAAACTCAAAAGTCTATTGCATCGTGTTGCCTTAATAGGTAGTTTTCTTTTTCAGACGGTGTATAGAGCCTATCTGTGATGACGTCTACTCTGGGTTGATGGCAACCTGCTCTTTTGGTTTTGGTTTTGGTGTCATAGTCTACAGCCTGAAAATGTGTTTGCCAATGATGAACACGGTTTCTTCTGAAAGTCGGGCCCTGACAGGAAACTGTCCGGACTTTACATCCTGGAAAAAGTGGCCAGTTCAAAGCCAAATAGGGGCTGATTTGTGTGTTACAGCAGAAACGAGAGTGAAGGCGAAACCATAAACAAAAGTTAGGTGTACGAACACACTACGCCGGGAAGACATGCCCATGGCCACGCCCACATTTTGCATAAAGACGACAGAAAGTGGCCGGAGGGGAAGAACTTAGAGACGTGGCCCGGCGTGGGTGGAACGTAGAGACGCACCTCCGATGATCGATGCACCAGATTTAACCCGCGCTGCTGCGAATCGGATGTGTTCAGTATCTCCCGCCGAACAGACCTCACTAAGAAGCGAACCGGATCTGAGCCTAGGGTCGGCGACGGCGAACGGTGACGGAGACAGTGACGGGGTGAGTCTACAGACACCGGAACTTCAGCCAGCAGCATTAAGTGATCATTTTTTGTTGTCGTCCATTTCTCCATTCACCTCTGTTTACAGTGTGGGTCCGTGTATCATCCTACGGTCGTTCAATTACTCGATTTAACCTGCAAACAACAAAACAGACAAACGGTTCAGAATTTCGATTTTTTTTTGTAGATTGGGAACAAAGTTAAATTGCTGCACATTTCTTTTGTTTCCATAATCAAATGTGAAATCAAATAAACGAGAAACCAAAGATCAAATCTGGTTTATCTGAGTTGACTTTGTGCGCATGCGCAGTGTCCGTTGCTTCCGCACATTTATATGAATTCCCATGAGAAATGTTGTTTTTGGCAGCTGTTAACTGTCAGTTCAGCAGTATCGTGTGTAATATCCACCTGGATTACAATAATAATAAAGTACAGAAATACACAGTGATTTTACTTATTTCATGCCTATAAAAAACAAAATTCTATACCGTTTATTTGTTTTCTCCTTTAAAGGTTAAATCAAATAATTGAATGATGGGATGATACACGAACCAGTGTGTGAAAACGTCTTACTGCAGCTCTAAAAATCCACCAGCACAGTACCAGAATAGAGTAGGACTCACTCAAGCCTGCTTAATAAACATGTTAAACAAGTTCATAGACAGAAAATGAACTGATGGCTGTTTTAGTGGCCGATTCATTGTTAGCTAAATGGTTTCCTGCTTCCCAAATGTGATGTTTTTCATTTTCCATGACAGTAATTTGAATACAGTGGCAAGAAAAAGTATGTGAAGTATGTGGTCAACCAGTTAATAATTCCAGGGGTTCACTTACTTTTTCCACTACCATTTTGAATGTTGAATGAGTGTGTTCAATAAAAACATGAAAGATCAGAAATGTTTTGTGTTATATTAGGTACACTATATTCATCAGTACTCTTGACTTAGATGAAGATCAGATCACATTTTATGACAAATTTATGCAAAAAACATGAAATTCTAAAAGGTTCACATACTTTTTCTTGCCACTGTATGTTTGGGTGCTGGGATGTCAGTCAGACAAGCATGCGCTCTGAAAAAGCCAGTTCAAACTTTGTACAATTGCAGTGGGTGTTTTTCATTATTTTCTGGTATTTTACAGACTAAATTATTTCAGTTTAACAAAAAAATATCTGTCGAATGCAACCATTAAAAAGTTTAGTGTTGCAACTAATTCCATTATCTTTTAATCTGCAGATTATGCTCTCAATTAACATGTTGGTTGATAATATGAGAAAATTATGAAAAATGTTTTGTACATTTTTTAAAAATCTAAACTGACATCTCGAGAGTGCTTTTTGTAAACATTCTAAACCCAAAGGCACAAGGTTTATTAGCAGATAAGACAATGAAAGCTTCAATTCTTCATTGTTGAAAAGCTGCGACGAAGCACTGGTTGACAATTTTGCTTGAGAAAAGACAAAAACTGTTTTATTTTTTTAATTGACTAAGCAATTGATCGGCTCATCATTTCAGCTATAAAGACTTTTGCCAAAAAAGCTCAGTTTGCTTAGATAAGTGGTTTCTGATTGGATGAGATAGATATTCAATGCAAGACAATCTAATAAGCTATGCTATGTTTATTTTTCTTCATCTAGTCATCCTACCATGGAAGCACACTTAGATAGGAAAAGGTCTCATAACGGCCCATTGATTTTGGTGCCTCACAATGATACAATTCGTCTCCTGGAGGTTTATGTCAAGCGCAGCCTCAGCCTCAATGATGGGACAGTGGGGTATAAGAAGGCTGTAATGAAAGAAAAGTGGGTGACCAAAAAGGAAAGACGACATTCCAGTGACCCTTCCCTTCACTTGGACGAAGGATTAAACGATAGTGGCACGCTGTTTGTGGTCGAACCTCCCACGTTGCAACCTGTGACGCATCCTGAGGAATCAGAGAAAAGAAAAGAAAAACAAAAGAAGAACAAGAAACCGTCATTTTGGAAAGCTTTTTTTGGCTTTTTCTCTCGGAAGAATAATGAGGACAAAGACGAAGAGCAGGACTGTCCTTCAGAGATGCCTAAGATGATCAAAAAAGAAGAAGAAAAAGAAGAAGAGGCCTCCGAGACTATGACCACCTGCCTGCCTACAACTCCAGCCACTTTACAGAAGAAGACGTCCTTGAGAAAAAGGTCCATTAAAAGAAGGCGCTCCAGACTCTCTCTGATAAAACCAAGTAAACCCGGGAGAGATATCAACCCTGCTGTCATCACTGGAGTGGAGGGTAAGTTTGACTGGATAAATGAATCTTATTTCTGTGATACAAGAAGTGACAAGTGTGAAATCTAAGTCGTATTACTGTTGTAAAAATATTCTCAACTGAATGCCGCTTTTGCAAAAGTACATTTGTAACTAACTTTCTGTTGGTCTGCAGCTGTTGTCAGCGTAGAACCGACGTACTCTTACTACGAGAAGGTGTCAGAGGAACTGGAAAAAATCATCCATGAGGTTAAAGTCAAAGAGGAAGTTCAGACTCTCTCAGATGGTAAGAAACTGTTTCTCTTTCACTATTAAAGTGTGAAAAGGTTCATTGTATGTCACCCTTTAAACAATTAAAAATAGCAAGTAATGGTAGAAGATCTGATGAAAAAAATAGTTTCTCTGCTGAATTTAGTTTGTGAAACCTTGGACATTACAGGACGTATCGCATCTTCTCTTTGTTTTGCACCTGTTACACATTATCCGCTTCAAACGTGACATCCATTCATATTTCATCCCTATAGCCATGTTAGAAAATTAGATTTTGGTGTTATGAGATGTTCTGCACACTGATTCAACTTCCCCTCACTTGTTTTCTCTCTCAGAGGAAGTAATCAACAGAATCATTGCTTTGACAAAGGAGCAGGGTGACCTCATAGATGACAAGGTTAGTACTGGGGTAAAACAAAAACTGTTTAGCCAGTTTCAGCAGGTGAACAGGCTTCATTAAACCATAAAATGTCCCATAAAGTCAGTGTAATATAAACTCTGTGAAAGGGAGAAGTCACCTTTTTTTGCATATCCTCAATCAGTAGCGTTTTTAGTGGGTTATTTTGCATTTCATGGGGGCGGGGTCATTTCCTCAACAATCCCTCATTACCTGCATGAGATAAATATTTTCTGTTTCCCAGAAAGCATCTCGACAAACCCCAGAAACTAGATGTGCGATAGTGATAACAGCAGCACAAGCGTGATAAGAGCCAGAGAGCAAAAGGTTGAGCGAGCGAGTTGTGTGTTCTTATGCAAAACCACACATCATGTGACTGCTCTGCAGTATCGTCTGGTGACGCCACTGTTCCTCTTTAAACAGCGGATTTTTGATAATCATGTCATGTAATATCAAGTCATTTTTAATGTGAAAATGCCAAAACTTTTAATGGTTACAGCTTCTTAAATGTGAGGATTTGCTGCTTTGCTTTGTCTTATACCTTTGTAAATCCGGGCAAAACAAACTATTTAATGACATGATCATCTTGGGCCTCAGTAAATTTGGATTGTGAGTTTAAAAAAAGTTGGTGGTAGTGTTAAATGTGTGATTGTTCAGCGTTGTTATAAAATGACAATGCTAACATCATGAACATCGTGAAATTATACTGACATCACGCGAAAAGAGATCATCTACATTTGGTCTGTTTCCTGCTGGAATGTTGCAAAAATGTATTTTATCAATAGCTGATTTTTTTTTAACTGTTTAAACTATTTCATGGTATATTGTTACTTTGGCCATGAATTTTTATAAGCCATAAAATCCCTACTAAGACAGCCTTCTCTCCTCCAGCTGAAAGACAACCCCGCCCTGAACAACTTCTTCCAGCGGATATCGTACTCTTCATTCCAGAAGTTGGCTGATGCTTATCTGGAAAAAGAAATGACACCGACCCATGGACCTCCCACTGTCCCATCTACAGCGCCTGAGCTGGTCAAGCTGGCCTTTGCACTCGACTTCACAGCCAGGATAGCCGGACTCTCCAAACCGAACATATGTCGCATTACAGGGCTGGGGAACCGTTATCTACAGGACTGCTTTGAATACAAACAGGTAAGAATCAGATGTAAAGCGGAAGAGTGATAAACATTACAGGTACATGGCTGTAGTGTTCTTCTCCAGTCCTGAACTCATTTAACATTGAGGAGTATATCTGTACACATTTGTCACAGCCAAAAATAGGCATGGCAAGATCTTTAGTTTAAAACTGTTTTGTTGTCTCTTGCAGGCAATTACAGATCATCCAGACACTGATGACTGAAAAGCAACTGTGCAAAAACAGAACCAAGTGAAACCCCTACTCTTCAGCGTCTCCCAGCACCACACATGTGGTCAAGGATGTGTTGCATAATGGCCTCCATTGTCATTCAAGACTGATTGAAAACACATCACAACGGCGTACTGGTTGATATATTTCCTCGTTATGTAACACATGAACCTAATTTTTTCTTTTTTTTTTGTTGTTGTTATTTTTTTTATGTTGCCCCAGAGGCTTTGAAGGGCCATAACCTTTTACAGCATCTGAAGTAAGCCACGGGCCTGACTCCAGGGTGGGGCCCAGGTGACCCCATACCGGGCGGGGTAAACGTAAGCCTTGATTTGTTCATTGTAGGTGGCCTAAGAACCGCCCTTTGTCTGGTCTGTCACTTAGGACCTGTTTGCCATGAGAGACCCTACCAGGGACATATAGCCCCCGACAACATAGCTCCCGGTATCATTCAGACACTCAAACCCTCCACCACATTAAGGTGTCGGTTCCAGGGAGGGGTTGTGTTTCCCTGATGTATTTTTAATCATTTCTGAACAACAGTCTATGGCACAGACAAATAAGATAACCCAGGACGGACAGACATTAACAGTGACTGTTGGGGATTGTTAAAATCATGTTAATATTTAAAATGACCAACCTTATCCTTCAAGTCTGTACACAAGCACAGGCGGTTGCCATTATTCATTATTACTGTTTTGCATTACAGTACTTGTGTAACTAAGCTGCAACACAATGTTTGCTGAGACAGTTGAATGGGTTTGGTAAATTTGAGTGTGTGCCTTTCTGCAGTGAACTGTTGACTGATGTCCTTCACGACTTGTAAGCACAGACTCAAACGTGCAGCAATATTTCAGAATCACAAACGCTCCAGCTGCTTCTACTAGTGACACTAAAACTGTGATGCTCTTTTGACAACACTGAATCAGATATTTTCTGTGAATTGATTTGTAATCGTACAAAAGAGGAATGCAGTAACCTTTGGTGTACATAAGGTAGACAACTCTGTGAAATGTTTTTTTTTTTTTTTTACATTTTTAGGGTTTAAAATGAGTCAAACCTAGAAGCTATAATAAACTGAGACGTGACTGTTGATATGAATGCTGGCGTTCATATTAAATACTCAAAGATTTAATTCTCAAATTTGTACTTTTTGTCAACCATTAAGAAAACTATTGGTAATTGAACTTGTATCTTGATAACTGTGCAACTCCTTGCAATAACCTCTTTATAAGTTTGCTAGCAGTGATCCTCTATAGAAATTGCATGGTAGCTGTAGAGCAGTGTTTTCCAGAGGGGGCTGCAAGAAAAACGTGAGGGGTTGCTAGATAAGCAAGAACCGGGAAAAGACACAAAATTAAGTTAATTTGTTTCATACCTTCTAGTTAATGGTTCATTTTCACATCACTGGGCTTCTAAAACATTAGGTGACCACTGGTAGAAATATGCAACAAAGCCGGGGTCAATATTTTAAGGCGTCAGAAGTCTCAAAGTGGGAAGCACTGCTCTGGAAGATACAGTAAGCTAGGTGTGAAAAAGGAGTAATTAACAAACCTTCGAATCTTCCATATCTTTAGCTTCACTGCATACCTCCTGAACTGTAAAAAAAGAGTTCATATGCATTCAGTGTAAACAGCATCTATAATATCCTAGCATCCAGGGAATTATGAGATGGAATGGGAGTGTCTGTTGCTTGGGTAAATCATGCAGCGATGGCTTTTACTTGTGAAACAGGTTTTCCCGCCTGCAGCTTTTTCCAACTAAACAGGGAGCCGCCTGAATGTCCTACGTAAACTAATGGGCTCACACGCGATTTCTGTGAATCTTGCAGCAGTATCATAGTGCTGCTGGAATGTTAGAGGTGAGTAGAGATAAAGATGGAAGCTTTTACCTGTGAACCAGGTTTTTCCGCCTGCAGCTTTTTCCAACTAAACAGGGAGCTGCCCGAATGTCCTACATAAACTAATGGGCTCACACGCGATTTCTGTGAATCTTGCAGCAGTATCACAGTGCTGCTTGAATGTTAGAGGTGAGTAGAGATAAAGATGGAGGAAGTCTGTCACATGAACTTTATGTTGTCAATTTAAATTAACATGAACCCTGAAGCCAAATCATTGCATAAAAATCCGTCTCTTAACTCCAAGTTCTCTTCAGTGCTTTGCTTCTTCAACTTGCGTAAACCAACCTTCACCAATGTTACAAAACCATAAGTTATATGCACAAGATGACAACTAGAACCTGACAACTGTAGACTGACAGCAGGTTGCAATCTTATGATTTCTGGTGGTGAAGCAACCTTTATGTTTTGCTCAGTGTTTGGTCCTTTAAAAGGTTTGAGGTATCTGGCCGACAGCTCAACAGACTGACCACATGCAGGGCAGGGATTGCCTAATGTTGCCCAGTCTTGACTATTTTTAGCACACAGTGATGGAGCTTTCAACATTAGCCTGAACGCCAGACAATTTATTTCTGTAACACTTAATAGTAAGATTGTTGGGAATAATTACCTGTGCACAGTCATAACTGTAAGCTATTTTTAACCAATCAAAGGATAGATAGGACACAATGTGTGTAAACCTTTTCCATTTTTATTGCTTTTTAAACACAGAGAAGGCGGATTAATCAAAGAGTCCAAAGCCCATATCTTCATCTGACTCTTCTGATTCTTCTTTCTTCTCTTCCTTTTTCTCTTCCGCTGGAAATAAGACAGAACAGTCAATACTACAGACAGATGTAGCACTGACATCCAACACCATCATTTTTGTTTAGGATTGCTGGATGTGCCTACAGTTTCATTCAAGTGTATCATAGTATTTACATGGCTATAGAAATGCTGTAGTATCATAACAAAATTTGCAACTAAAAGCAATCCTACAAAAACTGGAAAAAAATCTGAAAAAAAGGAAGAATTTGAGCTATGAACAGGGAAGTTATACAGACCAGCAGCAGGCGCAGCCCCAGCTCCAGCGCCCCCGCCAGCAGCAGCAGCGGCGGGGGGCCCCCCAGGTGACATTTTGTGTTTACTGAAGAGCCTTTACCTGAGTTCATGACTTCATTGATGTCTTTCCCATTCAGCTCACTGATGACCTAGAAAAAAAGAGAAGATTTAAATTCCATCCTACAGCATCTTCACTTAAAAGAAAAAAAATGGGAACAGATTTTCTTGTATAATCTTGTAATATAACGTTATATAGCATACCTTGTTTAAGCGCTCATCATCGGCCTCAATTCCCACACTGCCCAAGATGGCCTTGATGTCCTTTGCAGAGGGGCTGGTGTTTCCACCAAGCACAGCCAGGAGGTAAGCGGCCACGTAACGCATTCTGTGTTAAGGACAAACAAATGACATATGACTATTTGTGTGCGACGCTGAAGTAAAGTCTAGGAAAGTAAACAAACAGCACATCTTGTCTCAACCTTCTGGAACGTCATCCATCCTTGTCTTTTCAGTTAAAATACGCCGCAAATAAAAGAGGTTGCTTGCTTATGCCGTTTTTACTGATGTCTCTGTAGTACCTGCTTTTCAAATCATCATTAAGCCAATAAGGATTTGTTGCTTCTTCATAACCTGAATATCTTGGACATCAAACATCTATGCACTGAACAAGCAATATGTCACAAATGTGTAACCATTTTCTGACACTGATGATTAATCGTGAAAATAATAGACAATCAGCAAAATAATCAATTAGCTGTTTGACATTCTTAAGGAAAAAGGCAAACTTAGTTTCAGCTTCTAAAGATTGATTCCTTTCTGGGTGAGATATCAAATTTAATTGGATATATTTGAATTCTGGACTGATAGTTGAATATAACAATTTAAATACAACACTCTTAAACTGTGGGAAATTACAGCAGGCATTTTCATTGTTTTCCGATATTTCAAAGTCAATTAGCCAATCAAAAATGATTAGCTGCAGACATATTCTTGTTAGTTAATGGTTTGGTCTATAGCAAAACAAACAAATAAATAGAAATAAAAATAAAGAAAAATAGCTAATTATTCACCTTGCTTGTTTTTGTCTGACCACTTGTCCAAAACTCCAAAAATATTCAGGTTACAAAAACAGAAGACCAAGTAAACCAGTATTTTCATTTGATACTGGCAACTTTTTTGCAACAAAATAATTTATTAGTCATTAATTTGACATTTAACTTTGGTATCCTGCATGAAAGTGGCTATAATTATGTTAGACCCAAAAGTGTCTGACACTGTATTCTTGTCTAGTGCCTTTCTCATATAGAATTTGTATCCTTTCATTCATATATACCTCACCTCCGTGTTTTTATTCACCACTAGGAGGCTGACATCCATGTTCCCCGTCTTTGTACGTTTATTTATAGCCATAGTCACATTGGTACAACGTGGTGTATGTATAAAACATAAACACTGTTCAGCATACAGGACTCGGACATAAAGTAACAGTAGACAAACTACTTATGGATATAGTTTTAATTTATGCTACGGGGCTAAATGTGCATGAGGGTCCCAGTTGGATGTTAGCTTAGCAAACGTTAGCTTTTCTTGACCTTGTATTGAAACTGAAATTCTACATAAATAGGAGAACTGGAATAAAAAGACCGGAGCTAGAGTTACTAAGTTATTCCACTGTTCGCAGCTGTTGTAATGTTAAGAGCCTCTCCAGCAGCGCCAATGTTAAACTACGATCACCGTGATACATGTGATTTAGAGCTAACGGAGGAAGCATGGCGCCCAGTGTTTTATCCAGCTGCCCTACATTTGTTGCAGTGGACTCCTGTAACGCCTCATTTTAGTAACTAATATATGTCACACTAATATTGATGCCAGGTATAAAATTATCAAAACGCTGTTTAAATTATCCTCATTTGACTTACTTTTAAGTCTAAACAGACACGAAACGTCGGTCACGCCAGGAAATCCGGGTAAGAAGGAGGAGGAGGGTGCAGAGTATAGGGAGGAACTGGAATGCCTCGATTTCATTGGTCCATTTGGATGACAGACACTTACGTCACCATTTCGCCAAACAAACGACATTTTTTCAGGTTACCTGGTATACATGCAACTATTACACATCAGATTAGTTTTATTTCTCTTCATACTGTGCTAATATGATTAAATTGTGTTTTAGCTTGTTAACTTTATTATCCTTTATTAATTAGCCTAATTAGCCTTTATGGGAAATTTCTAATCCATTCCATAACCTTGTTGTTAATGTGCTCACTTTAATATCCACCAGATGTTTTGGAAGTTCAAAATCTGTCTATTTTGGGGTGAACTTCAGTCTGACTTTTCTTTTCAAATGAAATGTGCTATTTTAACACTTACAACAGCTAAACAGATACTACTGGAGAAAAAAAAATCCCACTCCCTGATGAATGCTGTGTGCTGTTTCTGGTACTGTAGGTCTTCAGTTAAGAGAAGTGATCAGTGCCAGTCTTATTAACTTGTTTAACCTGTCAATGAAATATTCAGTATAAAACTGTAGGAAAACAGAAAAGTGCATTTATGAATGAAAGAAATGATTGGATCAATCAACTAGTCAGCTGACAGAAAAGCAATTTTCACAGTTTTTATTCTATATAGGCCAAATAAACAACCAATTAATCAAGAAAAGAATCTGCAGACTAATTAATAATAAAATATTTGCTAGTTGCAACACAAAATTATTTAATACCAAGTGTTACAAATTCATTAGGTGATTGCATGCTTTGTAGCTAAACCAGTAACAGTAAAAGGCATTTAAAACATGTAAAATAGCACAATAAGTACAATAGTCCCTCTAAAATTGAATAAATTTGATCATCAGTACATTATTCTCTAAAATATACCTATAAATAAATTCTTTGTTCTGCATTTGTATTACCATATGCGCCTAAACACTGTAGGCAACAAACCTGAATCAGAATCGGAATCAGAATCTGCTTTAATGGCCAAGTGTGTAGGACACACAAGGAATTTGACTCTGGTACATCAGCTCTCAATGTGTATGTACATATCCCCATGAAAGGGGCAAGTAAACAGTAAACCAGCATAAGGCTGTGTAATATAACAAAATAAGCAGTATAGACAGGCAGTACACAATGCATACAGACAAGGAATGCTCATTGTGAAATGGGATAAGTAGGAATAAAAATAGAGTACTTAAAACTAGAAATCTGTATGAATCTGTATAATCTTGATAATACAATTAAGTGATCATCCCACACTGCAGTGTTGCTTATGTTATATTAAATGTATTAACAGTTGCTTTTTTTATCAAACTACAGCTCAGCCAGTTCCTCCCGTCTCTCCCCAGTGAGGAGCCAGTCGAAGAGAAAGACCACTGAATCTGACACAAACTCTGCAATCTTCTTGATGTTTGTCACGTACCACATTTTATAGCTAAATTCTCCTAACAGCATAAGGGAAAAAATGATCAAGATCCCAATGAAGATGCGGTCTATATAATAGTTTGCCTTCTCTCTTGTGGTCCACTGCTCCCAAGTAAGCACACGACGGGCTTCAATGTATTTACTGAAGTGCAGGAGGGCGTTCTGTTCGTCATCCAGCTCTTCCTCTGGAGCCTCCAGGTCTGGGCCACCCTCTGCTCCGTCTGTTTCAGTCATTATATGGTGGTTTAGTGCTGAAAATTAAAGTTTCCTTCAGCCGTCTGAGAATATTAAAATGATAAACATATTGGAAATCCTTTCAGAGACTGAAGTATATAGACAGTGCCTCATATGAAACTTCACACCTTTGTTGCCCTGTCTTAATATGACCGTGAAGAGTCTTACCTCAAAGAAGATTACTGTAGGATGAATATGAGAAGTAATTCACAAAGAGAATAGAGATTCTTGATTTATTTTTTTTTTTTTTGTCTCAACACCTACACTTCAACATTCAGTAGGTCACCAGACACAGAAGTGTTTGGCGAAGGCAGTAAATATGGCACCTACCTCACTAAGATGAAGGCTGGGGATTAGGCCATGCTCAGCAGTTTCAAATCCCTCAATAAGGATGAAGACGACAGATGGTAAAATATGTATTGATGTGGGTGTGAGGGAGAGAGATAGAGGGTGAAGGTACTGTATGTTCATATGGAACTGTTCATCCTTAAAGCATACTTGACCGGTGGGTGTACATAAATTGAGATAAATTAACATTTATTTGGAGCATATTGTTAGTATATGAATAAAGGCTAACACATTTAAACATGCATATATGTTGTAAAAACCACAATAGACATTTTTTCTTAATATAAATGGAAGTAGTGAAATTAAAACCAAGCAGAAGTCAAACTGATGACAAAGCAGAAATGGTGCGGCTTTAGCTTTAGAGATGGAATAAATCACTTCTGCGTAATGATCTGTGGGTAATTTACTCACTGCTTCAGGGCCTTTTCAATAGTCTGTCACAACCATTGAACTATAGCTCAAAAAGGCTGAATTAGCTGAAAACGTGGCTGCATACTCTGATAAAGACTAACAGCTGAACTGATTTGATGTTGCCAGAGTTTGTTTCACTTGGTTTAATGACTTTATTGTTAATATGTGTTCCATGCAGGACCTTTTCACATTTCTGTATAGAGTAAATTTGTTTAATTTGGGACACCATTGGACATCTAAGCTCACATGTCTTTCACCAAATAATACTTTATAGGACTGTTGTCATGCAATTTCAATCATATATTTAATTTGACATCACATCTGTGATACCATAGATTGGAGAGGACAGCAGATTTAGATTAAATCTGTCATAAATGTAGCAATGTTGCAAACTGGGAAAGCATGATTTCACTGCTGTGCAGTAGTTACAGTACTTACATGTTCAACAGTCATATACATGCTGTGGTTAACCTTACCTAATCTGCCATTATATTTACCTGTGTTCCTGTTTGCAGCCTCAGAACTTGTATCAGTGTCAGCCATCTTATCTGTGTATCTAATTATCAAATGTTAGCATGCTAACATGCTAACTAAGATGGTGAACATGGCAAACATTAAACCTCCTTAGCATCAACATGTTAGCATTACTGTTGTGAGCATCTTAGCAGCTGACATAGCTGAATGCACCACTTGAACGCACCACTGCGCCTAAGCACAGAGCTGTAAACATGGCTACAGACTTTTGCAGTCTTGTTTAAAAGGTACTTAAATTGTTAAAAATGTGAAATAAGAAATGTAAGAATAGCACATTTATTGAAGAAGCTATGCATTTTTATTTTAATTCATGTATCAACAGGCTTTTTCAACATTAGATGTTTGTCATACTTGACATACTGTAGGAAGGAAGCAATGAATGAAAACAAAATAATTCAGAATCTTTTTTTCCTTAATCTTGATTGTAGGTTCATTTTTTTAAGATCTGTGTCAAATATATTTGAATTGTCAGAAATGAAACTGTGCTGTGAAGTGCTATGCTGGCATCAATGGGCTGATACATTATCTAATCCCGTGAGTTCAATCACTGCGCCATCTCAGTGTAAACCATGTACACAGGAAGTCCTTGTTACAGGTTTACATCCACTTTCTCTGTCAGGGCTGGAGTGCTGCTGGGGCACAGGGTGGGCTCTGAGGGTCTACACAGCATGCAGTGATGAGTGATCTGGATCAGTGTGACACGGAACGGCTTTATCCTGAATGCATAAACCATAGGATTGAGGGCTGAGTTCACATGGGACATGAAGATTCCTACATAAGTGACAAACTTGGGAATATAACATTCTGGGCAGTAGAAGGTGATGCAGTTTATGATGTGTATTGGCAGCCAACACACAGCAAAGAGGAAGACCACCAGGGCAAGTGATTTGGCCAGCTTCAGCTCCTTCCGATAATACCTGTCTCCGTCACAGGTGGCTTCAGCACGCCGGTTAAGATGCTGCCGGATCACCCTAAAGATCTCCCCATACAGGACAATCATTGCTGTCAACGGTACTACCACCCAACCAAAGAAATTGAAGTACACCATGTAGTCCATCCTTATGACAGCTGTGAATTCGCAGATAATCTCACGGGAACTGCTCAGGTTTCCTTGGGCATCATAATTATTCCAGCCAAGCATTGGAACCAGTCCAGTGAGGAAAGATAGAATCCAACCCAAACAAACTGCCACATACGCCCTCCCCTGGGTCACAATGGTACTGTACCTGAGCAGGTATATGGAGAAGAAGAAAGTGACCTAAATGCACATATGCATACTGCTTTGTTTTTTATTACACAAACATCAACAAGTGCCAGCTTCTGACACCCGGATCCGACTGATGCAGAATATAGTTTTGGGCGACTGACCTTAGCAAACTGTGCCTAGGTCAGTTATTTGGGCAGATAGACGCATTCAGATTTTTTAACAGCTTTGATATCCAGCCCAATGATTTGCATTAAACCAGGAAACAATCTCTCTTACTATGTCAGACATCAACACTGACAATCACCTTTTGACTCTCTAGGCTAAAAACACATATTTACCTCTCTGATGAAATAAATAAGATAAAAACTACTGATACTACTACTGTAATTAAGTGCTCTTCTAAGATATTCTTGGGGTGACCTTACAAAGTTGTATCACAAAATTATGTGATTTAAATTCATTGACCATTTTGGTTTTAAGGGCAAGCTAAAGTAATGTGGGCAATATAGCTAAATGTTATTTGTCTTGATTTGATTGTATGGGAAGAGAAATGGTGTGATGTGGTATCAATTGAAATATATCGAAATCAGGTGAAAGGACACTTAAGTCAACATTATTTTAGAGTGGGAATAGAATAGCTAGTAAGCGATGATGCTAACATCCCCTTCTTTTGCTCCCAGTTGTAAGGTCAAGACCTGGTTATGTAAAGTGCCCTGAGATGACTGTTGTTGTGAATTGGTGCTATACAAATAAACTGATTATTTTATTGGTCTTCCTGTAAACAGACTTAATTATTATATTGATACTATAATCGTTTTCTAGACACTGTCATTGTAACATCCATTAGCCAATACAGTCTGACCAAAGCAACTTATCCTCTCTGTCCCTCTGTCTATATCAAAATCACTAGATAACCAAATTATACCAACAGTTCCTCACCTGGTGGGAATCTTGACTCGCAGATATCGGTCAATGGCAATTGCCAGCAGGGAGAGGATGGAGCTCTGGGTGATAATCAGCAGCAGGCAAGAGAGGAAGAGGCAGGTATAGAACTGAGTGTTAATTCCCAGACTGATGATAATAGCCAGAGGGATGACCAAAACTCCCACAGCGATGTCAGCCACAGCCAGAGACACAATGAAGCAGAAAGTGGTATTGCGGAGAGCCGGGTTCACACACACCACCAGTACCACCAGTACATTCCCCAACACAGAGACCAGGGCAATAACTGTCTCAATAGAGATGTACATCAGGTCCACATGCTCCTGAGACTTGATACCAGGAGAGGAAGACATTTTGACTGTTCACAGATCTGGCTTACCTTTGCTCAGTTTGGAAAAGAACTTTAAATTAGTTGTTAAAACTTCTTGTCTTCGCTTTGGGCTTTGCTTCAACATGTCCTCCATTATGTATATTTTTTAGTTGAAAGAAGTGTATTGCTTGCCATTTACTCAGAAAGGTCCCTGTGATCATGAAAGGACATTGAATGGTTAGTCCTCAGGATATTGTTCAAGCTGTGCACAAGACTTGATACAAGTGCATCACCCCTCTTCTACATCCTCTCTCCCTTTCTGTTTAATATGCGCTAGTCCTGCTAGCTGTAAAAAAGTGAGTCATTAAATAAAGGGGAGGGACTCCTGCTGCAGTTCCCTGCAGCAGTACTGTGGGTTGGCTCACAGTGACTGTCAGAGGCTGTGTGTGTGTGTGTGTGTGTGTGTGTGTGTGTGGCCTTTGAGAGGGACAGTGGTTTTTGTTTAATAGCTGGTATGATGCATGTGTTAGTATAACAGTTGAACTAAAGATGGTTGCGTATTAGAGACAATTTTAACTCACCATTATCATAATGGTCTGTATGTGACTAGATCAAAGTGCAATGCCAGTTATGTTTGAGCGATAATGGTGGTATTACAATGTTTGTCTATCAGAGAGTCTTTTTCTCTCTCTCTGGGTTGCTCACAACTCAATTTCAGCCCTATGACTTGGATTCCACAGCATAAACTTCATGTAGAAAGTCAGCCGCTTACAAACACTTAATGTAATTGTCCTTCCATGAAAGAAAAGACTTTGGCACTAAGTCCCACTGAGCAAGCAATCACTGAGATGGCCTTTAGTTGCTTAAGGAAGCAAACTTAATGTTTGGCTGTAAATACTGTATATTCAGTCTGATCACTTTTTTTTTTTAACAAAGTGATGACTTGGGATAGTTTGGGAAACTGCGTATGAGCTCAGGCTCTGGTCTGCACATTAGAGTGTTTGTGAGTGGTCACGGAATCACTTTCATTAGGCCTCTGTCATCCCACATGCATCCCCATTAGCTCAAATAATAATCTAGATACATTATGGAGTAATGGTAATGACTGTAAATGTCAAAAGGGACCAAAAATGTCTGATACATACTGCAGCATGGTTTTTGGTTCAGCACTTAAAAGCAAGATTGATCATCTAATACTCACTGCACTTGGTATTTAAGCATTTTAGTAAAAAACTTAGTTTTTTTTTATCATTTTGGATGAATTCATGAATGTAAAATTCTCTTCTGTGGCAATGTGATTCTATATTAACTATTACTGACTGAAAAATTTGATTATTTTGTAACATCAGTCACTGATGACCAATCATTTTGTGGACTTGTAGTACATATGGTTTCAGCATAGCACATAAATAAGGGCTGTTTTGATCTATATCAGGCCTCCATAAAACTAATTTTTAAGAATATTAGGTTCTTTCTTAAAAGCCATATTGATCTACACATAGACCATAATTTATATCAGATATTCCAGTGCAGACAACATCCAGCTGGTTGCACTACACAACACATATTTATTTACAGTGAAAACAGACGTACTGGTTTGCAGGTATCTGCTTGCACATGGTATGTTTTTAATAGTTTTTAGATGACATTGGAGGTCTATGGCACAAAGAAACCTGGCTATGGGATGTTCCATTATCTGTGATCCCACCCTGGATGTTTGAGGAAGTTAAGATTGATATGAGTTTTTTAGAAAGAGAGAAGGGGGAAAGAGAAAGACAAAGTGAGGTAACTGGATATACAGACAGAACTTATACAGGATTTCTTAAAATACATACAGATGCATCTAGAACAGAGAATGGTAAAATAGGATCAGCATTCATTATACCAGAATGAAATGTAAAATCAAATAAATGGATCAGTGATAATCTCTCAGTTTACACAGGAGAATTACTGGCTATTGTTCTAGCATTAGAATGGGTAGAAGAACATAAGGTAGGCAGGTAGGTAGGTACTTTATTGATCCCTCAATGGGGAAATTTCAGTGTTTCAGCAGCAATGGAGAACAAACAACAAAACACCATGAGAAACAAACACCACACACATATCTTGATAAACAAATTTCAGTACCTCAAGCAGCAATAGAAAACATAAACCATTAAAAGTCCTAATTGGATCAGATTCCAGCAGTTCTTAATTGAGTATTTGATACATCCAGTCAGACTCGAGGCAGGACATAATTCTTGAAATAGCGTTTATGATATTCAGATGTCAGAAGGCTGGAATAGATAATAGGCTAATTTGGATTCCTGCACATATTGGGGTGGAGGGTAATGAACTAGCAGATGAATTTGCAGAAGCTGCACTTAAAAAAAGAGATGTGTGTGTGTGTGGCAGTAAATTATAGTTGTCATGATTCGGTTCCACTGCTTCCCGTCTGGCTTTTATTTTGACACTATTTCCTGTTTTGTTTCACCTTAGTTCTGGTCTTTTCTTTACGTTCTTCATCACTCACATTAGTTTCACCTGTTTCATTATTATGTGCACCTGTTCACATCTCTATTTAGAGGACGCTGCCAGATTGTTCTAGACCCCAGCTCTGACTTTCCAGCATTATATTAGGTTTTTGGTATTTGTGTTTCTGACTCGGACTGTTTTTTAGATTACCCTATTCTGCCTTGCCCTCTTATTTAGGACTGCTTATGTGTATCGGCTTATCGGACGTTCCCTACGGACTACGCACTTTGGATTCCCTTGGATGTACGTGTTTGCTGGCTCTGACCTGGGACCGATACTGACCGTGAGTTTTTGTTTCCACCGTGTCTTGTATGGCTTTGTTGTTTAGTTTTAGTTCTCTTAATAAAGAGACGGTTTTTGTTTAACACTTCCTTGTCTGGCCATTTAATTGAGTTCACAACACTTTTCGGCCGCATTACGCGCGCCGTTTCTGACAATAGTAGGTTAAGAGTTTAATCAAAAGGAAAATGAAAGAGAAATGGCAAGAATTATCAGTTAAAGAAGGAAAGGGTTGGTTCTATTACAGTATCCAAAGGAGCATAAGAGAAATGAGAGGAAGTTCTAGGAATAGGAAGGAAGAAGATATGATATGAAGACTGAGGTTTGGGCATACTGGTTCGAAAAGTACATTGAAGTTGATAAAGAAGCATAATACAGGGCAATGTGAGTTGTGTGGTGTACAGGAAACTGTGGAACATCTTATTATGGGTTGTCCCAGGTTCAGGCGGGAGAGGGAGTTATTTAAAAATACAGTTCAACGTGGGGGAATGAACTTTAGTCAAACGGAGGTGTTGGGGGAAAAAAGCTCAGGGAATATAGGATAAAGAGCACTTCTTAGGTTTTTAGAGGGAACAGGACTGAGGAAAACAATATAATATGAACTGAGTGAAGTTACAGTAATAGGCCATTCTGATCCACACTCCAGTCAGGAAGGTGGCGGTAATGCACCTAAAGCTGTTTGCCAACCTCCATTAAACAAGAAGAAGAAGAAGAAGAAGAAAGGTCGCCATTTTTGGAATTATAGAATCCCAAAGGGCGTAACTGGATGGTGAAGATCTGAGGATAAGTTAATGAGGTTTCGCCCTGTTCAAATTTTGGCAACATGGTCAGCTTGCATTTTGTGTTCAGTTCTCAAATCATTGCAAACTAGTGATTACGTTTTGATTTATGAGTTTGAAGATTGTGCCTGTGTACTTGTTACGTTGGATAACAAATGAGCTACACTTTTTTTATTATCGGGAAAATATAGACTCTACACCAACTGATCGCCAGTGGGCATTTTGTAAATGCTTTTCCAAACTGTAAAAATTATTGTTGATGAAGTAGTAGCCTACTCTGTTGGTATACAGTCTTTAAACAGAATATGCCAAGTATTTATCTATTTCATGTACTCAGGAAACACAAATTAAGCTTTATTGTAATGGTTGTAACTGCCACCAGTCGCTACTCACTCCAGTTAGGCAGCTAAGCTAACTGCTAATGTTATGCTATGCTAACTCGCACAAAATGCAAACTTTACCATTAGCTGCAATCCTTTGTCACTCTGAAAAACACCAGTTTAGGCAGAAAGCAAAAGATACTGATTCCTTTTGTGGAAAAACGTTTTGTGGAGCTGAACAGATAAAGGGAAATCTATAGGCATCAGAATTTGTTGTAATACTTTTGTCCAGTCCTCTCCTTGAACCACCACCTTATTGTGGTGGAGGGGTTTGAGTTCCCGAGTGATCCTAGGAGCTATGTTGTTTGGGGCTATATGCCCCTGGTAGGGTCTCCCACGGCAAACACGTCTTAGGTGACAGGTCAGACTAAGAGTGGTTCAAAAAGCCCTTTATTAATAGAATTCAATCAAGGACTGTGACGTCGCCCGGCATGGTGCAACCGGGGCCCCACCCTGGAGCCAGGCCTGGGGTTGGGGCTCGAATGTGAGCGCCTGGTGGCCGGGCCTCCCCTCGCAAGGCCCGGCTGGGCTTAGCCCGAACAAGCAACGTGGGGACGTCCTCCCGTGGGCCACCACCTGCAGGAGGATCCATAAGGGGCAGGTGCACAGTGGATCGGGCAGCAGTCAAAGGCAGGGACCCCGACGACCCGATCTCTGGACACGGAGACTAGCCCTGGGGACATGGAATGTCACCTCGCTGGTGGGGAAGGAGCCCAAGCTTGTGCAGGAGGTTGAGAGGTACCGGCTAGATATAGTTGGGCTCACCTCCACACATAGCTTGGGCTCTGGAACCTTACTCTTCGACAGAGGCTGGACTCTCCACTACTCTAGAGTTGCCCACGGTGAGAGGCGGCGGGCTGGGGCGGGCTTGCTTATACCTCCCCAGCTTAGCCGCCATGTGGTGGCGTTT